TCTGGGAAATAAGTGAAGGATAGGGAATTCTGGCGTGCTGCAGGTCATGGGGTTGCAAAGAGTCAGACATGACTTAGTAACTGAACAACAACAACAGTCTTTGAATATTCATAGAAAAAAGGTTGTGTGTATACTTCTAGCTCCAAGAAAGCCTAGGAAATCAAGCTTTTATAGCTGGCCATATCACCATCCTAATAAAATCAGTCTTTTATAAAGACAGGGGCAGGAGTAGATACTGAGTAGGCCACTATGGGGTCTGCCTCAGGTTCCTAGGGGAGAATAAAAATATATAGGATATATATAGGATATATAGGATAGCCAGGCCATGGACGCAGCCTAGATGTCCGTCAGCAGACGAATGGATAAGGAAGCTGTGGTACATATACAAAACGGAATATTACTCAGCTATTAAAAAGAATGCATTTGAATCAGTTCTAATGAGGTGGATGAAACTGGAGCCTATTATACGAGTGAAGTAAGTCAGAAAGAAAAACCGCAATACAGTATATTAACACATATATATGGAATTTAGAAAGATAGTAACAATGACCCTATATGCGAGACAGCAAAAGAGACACAGAGGTAAAGAACAGACTTTTCGACTCTGTGGGAGAAGGCGAGGGTGGGATGATCTGAGAGAATAGCATTGAATCATATATAGTATCATATGTGGAATAGATCACCAGTCTAGGTTCGATGCATGAGACAGGGTGCTCAGGGCTGGTGCACTGGGATGATCCTGAGGGATGGGATGGAGAGGGAACTTGGAGGGGGGTTCAGGGTGGGGAACACATGTACACCCATGGCTGATTCATGTCAATGTATTGCAAAAACCACTATAATATTGTAAAGTAATTAGCCTCCAATTAAAATGAATAAATTAAAAAAATATGTATAGGATAGAGATGTTTGTGAAGAAAAGAAAATTTATTTGGAAAATCCCCATTGTACTTCCAGAGTATAGGTTGTTATCCACCATTAGATATGTTTAACATGCTCTCTGAATAATCCATTTCTTTTGATTTCTCTGTGCTGATGATTTGTAAATCTGTTAATTAAGCTCAGTTTTTTCTTCTAAGATTAGACCCAAATATCCAACTCCTGTTACAGATCTCCACTTGGCTATCTAACTGACACCTCAAAGTCTGAACATACACAGAAATAAAATAAACATTTTCATCCCTTGTCTTTGTTTTCATATTATTCTTTAACCCAATAAACAGTTTAACTATGCACTCAACTGCCCAAGTCATAAACCAGGCCATCATAGATGTTCCCAACTTTTACTTACTCCCATATCAAATTGATTATCAGTCAGTTTGACACTTTTAGTAATTTTGATAAGCCTTAAACAATTTATACCATACCTTAAAGTTGTTCTAAGCCCTAAATATCTCCCTAATCTATCCATTTTTCTCCTTTCCCATTGATATTACCCTAATTCAGGCACCGTGTCTCACCTAGGTCACTACAGTATCTTGTCAGTGGTCAGTTTTCCATTAATCTCGCCTCCTAATTCATTCTCTGTCTAACATGACAGGGACATCTTTCTAATACATGAGTGATCATATTGAGCTACTGCTGAAACTTTTATTGACTTTGCATTGTTCTTTACATGAAGTCCCAACTCCTTAACATGATTTGTAAAGCAGATTTGATCTCTGCTTACCTTCTAACTTCATTTTCCTTGCTCTTCTCTCCAATAAGTATGTCCTAGACAGCATTACTTTTTTCTGGTCCCCACAATGTAAGCTATGCCAGTTACTCTCTTCCACCTTCTTTTAATAATGTTTTTTATTACTAATAATTCTTATCCTACTAATGTTTCTGTTATAAAATTAAATATATCCTCCAAAAAGTCTTTTTTTCTTTCAGTTTTATTGAGACATAAATTACATACACCACTGTATAATTTTAAAGTGTATAACATAATGATTTGACTTACATACATTATGAAATGATTGCCACAGTAGGTTTAGTGAACATCCATCATCTCATTGAGATACAGTATATTAATGAAATTAAAATCATTTTTCCTTGTGATGAGAACTCTTAGAATTTACTCTTATCAACTTTTACATATAACATATAGCAGTGTTAATTACATCTCATGTTATACATTACATCCCTAGTCCATGAAAGTCTCTTTGATCTGCGTAAGTTTAGATTAGGTGGCCTTCCTGTGTGCTTACAAAATGTTCTGTTCAGTCCCTGTCACAGAGTTAAAATACTGCATTTTAACTGCGTGGTTACTTATCCCTCTCCTCACTAGGTTGTAATTGCAGAGATCATGACTTTTCTATTCACTGTTATTGCAGCATAGCTACAATTACTGATTCAGGTGGGCAATCAGTGAAGTGAAGTGAAATTTGCTCAGTCGTGTCTGACTCTTTGCAAGCCCATATACAGTCCATGGAATTCTCCAGGCCAAAATACTGGAATGGGTAGCCTTTCCCTTCTCCAGGGGATCTTCCCAGCCCAGGGATCGAACCCAGATCTCCCATATTGCAGGTGGATTCTTTACCAACTGAGCCACAAGGAAAGCCCAAGAACACTGGAGTAGGTAGCCTATCCCTTCTCCAGAAGATCTTCCTGACCCAAGAATGAACTGGGGTCTCCTGCATTGCAGGCAGATTCTTTACCTACTGAGCTATCAGGGAAGCCCAGGAATCACTCTAATAGACTTTAATCTAATACTGTGTTTATTTATTTTTATTGTAAAATACATGGTAGAGGATACAACAAGTATAGCATTTTCATCTTATCAAGAAATTCAGAGCTATCCTTATACACATACATTGTGTATAAAATACACATTTTGCCCTCTCATTCACATATGTGTATACATCTGCCAGGTTTGAAAGCTAAGAGTAATGGAAGTCACTGTAATGTGTAGAAGCAACAGCCCCTTTTTTCTTTCTTTTCTCTCCCCCACCATTCTTTATTATGGGCATCTTTTATACTGTTCTCATGTAGGCCCCAAGCCTGCAATGTGTGCAGTTCTTGACAACAACAAAAGCAGACACAACACTCCTCATTTATTTTACCTGTTGTTTTCAAGGCTGAGAGACTTGAGGTCATTCTCAACCAGGCCCTCACCACTCCAGGCTGTATATTAACCCTTTACTCATACCGTTATCTCCCCAGGGACTAGTGCAATGCTCAATAGATATGGTTGGATTCTGTGTAGTAGAACACAACTAGTAGGCAAGAATCATAGCACAGCCTTAAAGAGAGTTCAAAATAGAAACATTGAAAGTGGAAAAATATATATCATGCAAATGCTAAGCAAAAGAAAATATGGTATAGTTATAATATCAGACAAAACAGGCTTTAAGAGGGGAAAATATTTCTGTTGATAGAAAAGGATTACTTTGTAGTATTAAAAGTGTTCAATTTGGAAAATTATAATTTAAAATTTGTATGTACCTTTAATATATATAATACCTCAAAATATATAATGAAAAAATTGACTAAACTAGAAGAAAAACTAGAGAAGTCTATAATCTTAGGTGACTTTAGTGCACAATTATCAGTACCTTATAGAAGATACAGAAGACAAACTATGATTAAAAATTTTGACCTATAGAGCAAATGTAAAATATTGCACCCAACAATTGCAGAAACACTTTATGGTCCACATTTACAGAAATTGACCATATACTTGCTCATACAGTAAGTCTTAACAAATTTCAGATGACTGTAATCAGAATATAATTTCTGACTATAAAGCAGTTATATTAGAATTTAAGTAATATAATTTTAAATAACATGGATCAAAGAAATCCTAGAAATTGGAATTGAATTGAATCAATGGAAAACAGTTTGACACTTATATTAATTTTGATAATAATATGCCCTCTGATCCAGCAACTACATCCCTAGGTACATACTCTGGAGAAGTTTTTGTATGTGTGCAGTAGAATGTGTGAATAAGAATGTTCGTAGCATTGAAAACTAGAAATAAACCAAAAATGTCCATCAGCACAGCAATGGGTAAATAAGTTGTGATATTTATTTATGTAACATCAAAAGTGATTGAACCATGGCAACATGTAACATAACTGGATCTTAAAAGACAAAAACAAATGTATGTAATATTATTCTATTGTAAATTAAAATTAAAAATTTTAAAACCTGGTATTTAGGAGTGCATATTTAGGAAACCAGTTTAATTTAATAAATATGTAAGGAAAAGCAGGAAAATGTTTATAAAAAATGTCAGAGGGATTTTCTCTAAGGAGTAGGGGAGAGAGTTAGACTGAGAAGAGACAACATGTCTTGACCTGGATGGTACCCAGCTATTGGCTTTATAAATATTTGTTATGTTATACCTTTATATTCTATGAAGTTTTCTTGTATTTAATAATTCACACTTTTAAAAGTTAAATTTCCCCACTAGTTTCAGGTTTCCAAAATACCTATCCAGTGCTCAGTAAAGACGAGAAAGAGGTTAGTTGTTGGAGCCAAGTCTGAGAAGATGTGGAAACATATAGAATAAAGAACACAGGGGAGTGGACTAACCTCAGTCAAGAAGAAATGGGCATCTGTTTCTTTGAAAACTAGGAATGGGAGAAAGAATACAGGGAGAGGATGCAGAAACACTTAGGAGGAGAGTTTTAAAAAGTTCAGATATATAAGATAGGAAGTAGAATCATTTGCTAAAAGTGAACCTAACAAAAGGGGAGGGATATCTGGGGAGTATGAGGCAGGAATACACCATTTGTTCAAGTTTCAGCAGGTATTTAAAATTTCTTGTAACCATTCAGAATTAAAGTTTATGTGGGACTTCTGATATTGGTTATTCACAAGCAAGATCTTTCCTCACAGGTTAATATGACTCTTAATTATTTAATTATATTATACATATGTTCTTTAATATGTAATGAAAGATTATAAATGTTTACATTTAACCGGGAGGGCAATTTTTGTAGGCAAAATATACTTCTATTGCCAAAGAATAATGATCTTACGAACTTCATTTTTCTTTTCTTCTTCAGGTCATGTATGGAATGTTGGTCTTCACTTTAGTGGTTCGATCTATTTATATTGTTACATGGTAAGTAGTTTGGATCATCAAGAGTATACTTAGGTGGTAAATCTATAGCCTAAATTGAAATAACTCATAAAATCCAACTTCAGACGGGATATTGATAGAAAACTTATAACCAAACATTTATTATGGTATATTGCAAGGAATACTAATTCTTTAAGCAAGTTGTTAATAGGCATCATGTGAAAGCAAGACTTTTAAAGAAATTTGAGGAAAGCTGTGTATGATGGCCTCCTTTTGAGTATTTATAATGTACATGAGTATATTAAAGGCCTTGAAAACTCCTACAGTAGAAAGGAAAATAATTGTTTTTATGTTTCTCAAACTACTTAACTAAGAAACCCTTTTCGCAGAATATGTCTCAAGAAAGGCTGTCTGTGTCACAGAGAAACAGTGTTCCAGAAAGATCATTTAGGAAGTAGGCATAAACTTTATAGAGTTTGTGAAAAATAAAATAAATATTTCATGTGAGTACCTGACATAGGGCCTGGCCATATAGCAGTTGCTCAGTAAGTAAGTAGTATATGATTTATGGGTTTGTTCCTTTTTTTTTTCCTCTTTTATTTAAACTTTCTATTTTGAGATAATTGTAGAAACACATGCATTTGAAAGAAATTAAATAGAGATCATCTGTACTCTTTACCAATTTCCTCAAGTGATAATGTCTTGCAAAACTATTCTACAATATCATAACAGGATTTGACATTGACAGAGTGAAGATACAGAACAATTCTATCACCCTCTGTTGTCTTTCTGTAGCCACACACACTTTTGCTCCTACCCCATCCCCTCACTACCTATCCTTAACCCCTAGCAACCACTAATCTGCCCTTTGTTTCTCTAATTTTTTCATTTTAAGAGTGTTATATAAATGGAATCATACAGTATATACAACCAGTGGGATTGACCTTTTGTATTCAGCATAGTTCACTGGAGATTGATACAAGTGATTGAATATATCAGTAGTTCATCCCTTTTGTTGTGGATAATATTTCATGATATGGGTGTACCACAGATTAATCATTCACCTGTTGAATGACATCTGAATTTATAGTTTTTTATTTCTAGTTTCACTATTACAACTAAGTCTGCTATGAAAATTTGTTTGCAGATAAGTTTTCATTTCTCTGGAATAAATGCCCAGAATGCATTTACTTGATTGTATGATAGTTGTATATTTAATTCTTTTTAAACCTGACAGACTTTTCCAGAGTGACTGTTCTGTTTTGCATTCCCACCAGCGCTATATATGTGACCCATTTTCTCTGTATCCTTTCCAACGTTTGGTATTGTCACTATTTTTAATTTTAGCCATTCTTATAGATATGTACTGATATCTTACTGTGATTTTAATTCTCATTTCCCTAATGGGTATTGATGTTGAACATATTTTCATGTGCCTACTTGCCATCTATATATCTTTTTGGTGAAATGTCTGTTCATGTCTTTGTCTATTTTCTCATGAGATTGTTTCTCTTTTTTTCCAGTTGAGTTTTGAGGATTCTTTGTATATTGTAGATACTAATCCTTCCTCAAATATGTGGCTTACATTTTCTCACAATTTGTACTTAGTCTTTCCATGCTCTTCATGTGGTCTTTCACAGAGCAAAATTTTTAATTTTTATGAAGTCAGTTTATCAATTTTCCTTTTATATATCACACTTGGGTGTCCAGTCTAAGGACTCTATGCCTAACCCTGGGTTTTCCCTTGTTTTTTTACTAAAAGTTTTGTATAGTTTTACATTTTACATTTAAGTTTATATTTATTTTGAGTTAATTTTTATATAAGGGTAAGGATTAGGTTGAGGTCCATTTTTTAGCCTTTAGATATCCATCTACTCCAGGACCACTGGTTGAAATGGCCATTTCTTCAATGAATTGCTTTTGCGCCTTTCTCAAAAATCATTTGAATACATTTATGTGATGTATTTCTGAATTTTAAAATTATATTCTACTGATTTTGGTGTCTGTTCTTCTACCAGTTCTATACTCTATTGATTACCGTACCTGTAGAATAACTCTTCAAATCATACAGATTGATCCCTCTCACTTTTCTTTCAAAATTGTTTTTGCTATTTGGATTTCTTTGCCTTACATGCAAGTTTTAGAATAATAATGTCTATATTTAAAATCTTATTGGGATTTTGATAGGAATTGCGTATTGCATTAAACCATCATATCAATTTATGAAGAACTGACATCTTTACTATGTTAAGTCTTCCAATCTGTAAACACTGTGTGTCTTATGTGTCTCTTCATTTATTTGGATAATCTTTAATTTCTTCCATTAGCATTTTGGAGTTGTGATTTTTTTTTTTTAACAATGGTATTGTATTTTTAAATCTTGCTGTCCAAACTTTATTACGTATAAACACAGCGTATTAATAATAGTACCAGAGAGATCAAGATGGCAGAATAGAAGGACATGGAGCTCACCTCCTCCCACAGATACGTCTCACAGAACAGTTCTTATAATGACTACTGAACACTGCCAAAGAGCTCATACAACCAAAGCTGCAAGAAAGTTCACCATGTAACTGCATAAAATGAAAGGAAAAAAAATACAGAATTGGGCTTTGACCTGCACCCTGGGAGGGAACTATGAAACAGGAAAGATTCCCTCATCCTGGGAATGCCCTTCATCAGTTGGGAGATCAGTCAGGACAGAAAGGGAGCATCGGAACGTCAAAGGAGTGTACAGCAATTGACTTGTGGCAGGCAAAACAGAGAGAGACCAGTACAGAAGATCTGACCACCATACTGCACTCCCTAGCCTGAGTCATGCATCTGCTGTTACATGCAGGGGCTGAGTGCTGAAATTGGGGCTTCAGCAGACAAACCTGGGGAGAGGACTGGACTGGGGTTGGCTGTACAGAGACAGCCTAAAGAAGCTGGAGTGTGGCCCAGGCCACAACTGGGGGTATGTACAAGATGGAGCCCACGTCCACCATAGAAGCCCCATTGTTAGTGCACACACACACAGAAGGGAGTGGCCCTGCCATAGAAAACTTATTTTCCTCTTTGCTCACTGCAGGCACAACTCCCCCTCTATGAGCTCTGGGAGCTTGCAAGCCCTGGCAATTGGCCATACACTGAGGCAGGGCTGAAATCTGGGCTTGCAGCTTTGTGACTGATGGATTTACAACACTGGTGCCTTTGTAAGTTCAGTGCCTGCTGGACATCTCAGTGGATTACTTGTGCTCCTGAGCCTGGAGTGGATCCAGATTTAGTAGCTGTTGCCTTTGTGGGCATGTAAATGCAGAGGTGGGCCAGGGTCTACACTGATTCCATAGTTCCCATGGCAGTTCCAGGGGAGCATTACAGCAAGTCCCAGTGCCTAACTTTGGCAGATCTTGGCCAGTGGCTTTTGAGCACGGCAGCTGAGGGACATTCATACTGATTGCCTGCATTCCCATGACTGAGGCGGGGCCGAGGGTTGTACCAACAATGGAGTACTTTGTGAGCCTACACAATGGGTGGCAGATGACACCACAGAACTCACATTCTGGTGGACAGCTCCTGTGGAGGAATACTCAGTGGTTCCTCTCCCAGCAGAAGCTTGCCAGTTCCATGTACCCCACATTGAGTTTTGAATTGGATCTGGGGGTTTCTACTCCAGCAACTGGGGAGCAGATCCTGCCCCTGACAGGTCCGTGACAGCCAGAGAGTAGAGAGGAGGCCCCAGTCAACATACAGTGCAGGCTCTGGTCACCACAGCACCAACCCCTAAGAAAGGAATAAGAGCCAGCACATACTGAGGAAAGACATGGCAGGCATCCATACTAAAAAACAAACTTTGCACCAAAGATATTAGTCTCATACAGGCTCCACAGGAATGTGAAAGTTGCTCAGTTGTGTCTGACTCTTTGTGACCCCATGGGCTATACAGTCCATGGAATTCTCCAAGCCAGAATATGGGAGTGGATAGTGTTTCCCTTCTCCAGGGGATCTTCCCAACCCAGGGTTTGAACTCAGGTATCCTGCATTGCAGGTGGATTCTTTACACAAGGGAAGCCCAAGAATACTGGAGTCAGTAGCCTATCCTTTCTTCAGCAGATCTTCCCAACCTAGGAATCAAACCAGTCTCCTGCATTGCGGGTGGATTCTTTACCAACTGAGCTATCAGGGAAGTCCCTCCACAGGAATGTTCCCACATAAAAACAGCCCTTAAAGACCACAGTAGATAACTGCTCCTCCTAAATTCATAGAGAAATAGAGGTAAAAAGAAGCAGAGGAAACACTGCCAATTAAAAGAACGAGAGAAGTCCCCTGAAAGAACAATAAAACAGACCTCTCCTGTCTACTAGATCCCAAATTCAAAAAGGAGGCAGTAAAAATACTGAAGGAATTAAGAAAGGCTATCAACAGAAATGTACATCACTGTAACATGGAACTAGAAACTATTAAGGGGAATCAGTTAAAACTAGAAAACTCATTAGCTGAAGATGAAAGCCAAGCTGAAGGCAGTGAATAGCAAACTAAATAATGCAGAAGATCAAATAAGTGATCTGGAAGATAGGATAATGGAAATTACCCAATCAATACAGCAGACAGAAAGACTAAAAAAAAAAAAATCAATATATGAGACCTTTTGGATAATATAAAGTGAGCCAATCTGTATAATAGGGATCCTAGAAGAAGAAAAAGGAAAGAGGGTTGAAATTATAGTTGAAGAAATTATGCCTGAAAACTTCCCAAACTTCAAGAAGGAAACAGATAGCCAGGCACAGGAAGCCGAGACAAAGAGAACCCAAACAAACCTACACCAAGACATGTTATAATTAAAATGGTGAAGATTAAAGATAATGAGGTTTTTAAAGGCAGCTAGAGAAAAACAAAGAGTTATGAGGGAATCCCCATAAGGCTCTCAGCTGATTTCTTTACAGAAACATTCCAGGTCAGAAGGGAGTGGCAATATATATTCAAAGTTCTGAAAATGAAAAGCCTGTAGTTTGGGATACTCTACACACCAAGATTATCATTCAGAATAGAAGGATAAAGAATTT